GAAGCGACGCAGGCGTTGTTTCACCAGCTTGGAGCCTAAGTGGATCTTCAAGGCATGCTCGGTGACTTCCTTTGGGATGCCTAGCATGTCCGAGGGTTTCCACACGAAGATGTCTCTGTTGGCGCGAAGGAAGCCGACGAGCATGCTTTCCTATTAAGAGGAAAGTGTGGTACCAATGCTCACCGTTTTTCCCTCGGTGCTCCCGGGGTCTATGAGGACCTCCTTAGAGCCTTTTGCTAGCTCGAAGGACCCGGTCGACCTTTTGGGGTCGGGTGCTTCTTCGGTGACCTCTTTTCTGATGTCCGCGAGCTCTCCGGAGGTGATGATTGCCGCGGCGTGATCGTAGCACTCGACCTCGCACTCATAGGCGTGCTGGAAGGAGGTGCCGATAGTGATGACCCCGCTGGGGCCTGGCATCTTTAGCTTGAGGTAGGTGTAGTTGAGGACGGCCATGAACTTCGTGTAAAATGGTTGTCCTAGGATAGCGTGGTAAGTTTCGTGGAATCCAACCACTTCAAAGGTGAGGGTCTCCATCCTTAGTTGGACGGACCCCCCAAAGGTGATAGGCAAATCGATCTACCCAAGAGGCATCGCCTACTTTTCAGGCACGATGCCATGGAAAGGCGCTCCGGTTGGCCGAATGCGCACTCGGTCAACGCCCATAGCGTCGAGCGTCTCGGTGTACATGATGTTGAGGCCGCTGCCTCCATCCATCGATACTTTGGTGAGCCGCTTTGTGCCGACGATTGGGTCAACCACGAGCGGTATCTCCCTGGCTGTGGGACGCTCTTCGGGTGGTTGGTCCGATCGAAGGTTATAGCGGACTCTGACCACCAGAGGAAGGCAGACGTGGCCGGTTCGGTCGCATAGACCTTGCGGTGCGTGATCTTCTAGCGACGCTTAGAGTCATAGGCCTCTGATCCTCCAAAGATCGTGAGGCAGCCATCCGGTGTTGGAAAGCCATTGCCCTTCTCCGCAGCGTCGTCCATGGTGGGGTCAGAGTCCTTCCCATGCTCCCCTTTGTTGGAGCCCCGGACAAGAACCGCTTCATGAGGGCGTAGTCCTTGTACAGATGCTTGACGGGGAAGGCATAGTTTGGGCATGGCCCCTCGAGTAGTTTTTCGAAGTGGTTCGGAGTGCCCTCCGAGGGCTTCTGACCACCCCTGTGGTCAGCGACGTCCACGAGAGAGCCCTCGCGCCGCTGCTTCTTGTTCTTCTTTTTGGCGGGATGGTTGGAGGTGCCTTCACCAGCGTCCATGTCCCGCCTCGCCTTGCCATTGAGGCGATCAAAGATCACTCCGACCGTTTCTTCGCTCGAGGCGTGGCTGGTGGCGATGTCAAGGAGTTCCTTGGTGGTTCGCGGACCCTTGCGTCCCAGCTTGTGAACCAGAGACTCGTAGGTGGTCCCAGATAGGAAAGCCCCTATAACGTCAGCGTCGACGACGTTAGGTAGCTCATTGCACTAATGGGAGAAACGCCGAATGTACCCACGGAGGGTCTCACCGGCCTTCTGTCGGCAGTTTTTGAGGTCCCATGGGTTCCCAGGGTGCTTGTATGTGCCCTAGAAGTTCCACACGAAGATCTCCTTTAGGTCCGCCTAGCTCTAGATTTTGTTGGGTGGCTGGTGTTCCAACCATGTTCGTGCCGAATCGGCCAAGAACAGCAGAAGGTTGCAGATAATGAAATCATCATTATCCACGCCACCGGCTTGGCAGGCAAGCCGATAATCCTCAAGCCATAGTCCAGGGTTCATCTCCCCAGAGTACTTTAGGATGTTGGTTGGTGGCCGGTACCTTGGTGGGAAGGCAGCGTTGAGGATGTGTCGGCCGAAGGCCTAAGGCCTCGGTAGGCCGAGGCTCGGGCTTCGGTCCTCGCCGCTGTCGTAGCGACCGCCACAGCGAGGGTGATAGCCGTGGTGAGCTCCCTCTCCCGGGTCGTTATGAGTATGCCTACGAGTGTCGAGGGTGTTGCGTGTGTCACGGTTGCGGCTGAGATGATGATGCACCGAGACCGCAGTGCGTTGCCACCGCCTGGTGGACCGATGAGTCCCTACTGGGGTGTTCGGAGGGCGTGCACTGGCTGGCGTCGGGCTCGCATCGCTGAGACAACAAGCTCTCTACGTGCTGCGCTGCCGCACGCTCTTGCAGCGTGCGAATCTCGTGATGAGCCCGATGAATCCTCGGGCGTCGCGGCCTCTGGAAGACCATGGAGCAGGGCCGCCATAGCGGCGATGTTCTGGCTTGCCCGGGTGAAGCGAGGGAGGGCTTAATCGTCAGCGATGATCCTCCAGTTCACATCGTGGGCCATGGCGCATGCGCGCCCACCGTCTATGTGGCGCTCGATCTCCCGATCGAGCTCTACGCATTCCTGCTAAAGCTAGAGTCACGCTTCCTCGATCTCTCGATGTCGGGCTTTCAGCTGCTCTACACTCATGCGAGGTGGGGCCGCTGTTTCCCCCTCAGCCTCGTCGTCGAGGTCGTTCACCGGGGTAGCCTCCTCCTCGGGGACGCTTTCAATGTGTCCCTCGGGGGTACCTGTCATGAAGCATTCACGAGAGGGGTGATGGCTCCCCCTGCTAGAGTCAGAGCCAATGGGCGACTCTGGCTCCTCTGTGAGGAGGTAGTGGAAAGATTCCACGACGTGTTCGATCACCCCCACCAATTCATCGTTCGTGGGAGGTGGAATCATGCGTTGTGCCACAAGGTAGCTAACGGTCCCCGCGGCATTGCGGAGACCGAACAGAAGCATTGTCGGGGCGCTCCGTATGAGGTGTTCCGAAGAGAGGGGTTCCCCTCCAGCGAGCCACACCACGTCATTGGCGTAAGAGAAGGTGAGGCGGCGCGGGTCCTCCCTGGATGGCTAGGGTCCTAGGACGCCGCCGAGCTGGCGCTCAAGCCTCCCGTAGTCGAGGCCGATGGAGGGGAGATGTTGGATGGCGGCGTGAGCCAATGCCAACTCTCCTCCCATCATGATGATCAAGTCCAGGTCCCCGAAGCGCACGTGTGCACCCAGGACCCAGCTGATATTGTGGCTAGCCATCCGTGGCCTAATGTTAATGTTGGAACACGTAAAGGTCCCCTACCTGGCGCGCTAACTGTCGATGTTTTGAGTAAACACCAACGAGTAAATTTGTGTTATTGCTCGTCTGACACGGATGTTGTGCTAAAAAGACACAAGGTTTATACTGGTTCGGGCAGAATGTCCCTACGTCCAGTTCGTGGCTGTTGCTCGTGTTATTAGCACCAAAAAGTTTGTAGTAGGGATTACAAACGGGCAAGAGAGGGAAATGTCTCAAGTCTCTGATGGAAAGGTCGAATGGGTGCTGAGAGCTTGGTCGCTGCTCAGCTATGTGTGTTGTGATGTGTGGTGTGTTGAATCGATCCCTCAGTGGGGTGTCCTACTATCCCTTTCATAGGCCAAGGGAGAGCAGGGATTACAGATGGGAGAAAGAAAAAAAACCAGAGGCAAAGGATTTCCTTTAAAGATATCGGGACTTCCTTTTCCTCTGTGCGAGCCCTACTGACATGGCAGGCGGTGCCAGGGATAGCCCCATGCTGGGAGCACGTCCGCTGATCTTGTCATTTCCTGGCGTGGTCAGCAAGTTGTCACATCCCATCCCGCCCCGGCGGGCGGCGCGACGGACCAGGGTGCTGATCCGCGGCCATACAGGGAGCAGATAGTGCAGAGACTGCACGTCCGTTACTGTAGGTGATGCGAGTTTCCTCGTGAACCGTAGTGGTTGTCGTGAGCTTCCGTCAGGATCCGCGCCTGAGGGCAAATGGCGGCGCCTACAACACTGTAAGACAAATGTCGACACCTACAACACTGTTCGGGCTCTAACATGCCTGGAAGGGCTTAAAGTGCCCGTCTTGTCACATCCTGACAGTACTTTCCTGCAGACGTGTAGGGTATGGTCCTTGGTATTGTGGTTGACTTGAGTGCCCTGCCTTATCTGTACGTGTAGTTATGAAGGAGCAGCGCACAGACATCGGGTGAGGCGGAGCTAGTCCCCAGACGTCGCGTGAGGTGGAGCCTGCCCTCGGACATCGGTCGAGGCGGAGCCAGCCCTCAGACATCGGGCGAGGTGGAGCCAGGCCTCGAGGGTCGGACGAGGAGGAGCCAGCCCTCAGATGTCGGACGACGGACGTCGGACGAAACAGAGCCCGCAGCCTTGGTGGTTTGGACGAGGCGGGACCCACTGAGAAATGTAGTTGCGTTCTTGATCGCTCTGATGAATTAGCATTGATGGATATCAACTCCTCCTCTTTGGGTATCTTACTTTATCTCCGGTCGCCGCGGACGCACTAGCTATCAAGGTACACCAACGAGATGTTTATACCCGCTAGATCTGTACTAGAGGTTTGGAAAATTTTTATCGCTTGCACATCTTAGGTTCCTTTTCTTGAACCTGAAGCATCGCCATGATTCGCTCTCCATGCACACATCGCAATCACAGCCCCCAAAAGATCAACAAAAGGGAGCAAATTCCATCATGGAAAGGGACACACGTTTGGTTTCATCGATCCATTCATTGGGAACAGGAACACAAGATACATATAATCTTTTCTCATCCCTATCCATGACCCATGCATGTAGGTAGGAATGAGAAATGACCACAGCAGCAGTAGTAGTAGCAGGGACCCATAGAAAGAATCTCAATACTAGGCTTCAACAAATCACATCACAACCACCATGGCTGACGCTTGAAACAAGCTACATGATTAAAAGGCTCTCTCACTCTCATCTTCAGGGACCCTTAGCCCTTCCATGGAGTGGCACTAAGAGTGGACTAAGAGGGGTCCAGAGAACAAACCCCTCAGATTCCGGATATAAAAAAAACTTTCAGAAATTAAAAGAGACTGGATAGTTCCGCAGATTTTACGGGAGAAGGTTTGCCTCGGTTTTTTCCTTCTCCAGACCCCACTCATGTGGGAGCCTCCGGCACTGTATCTGTCTTTTTTTTTCACGAGACTAAATAGTAGTACGATCTTATCTTATAACTAATAAGTAGTGGTAATAGTTAGCACGACAGCGGGCTGATCCGAATTACACTTGGATAAAAGGCTGGCACGACTCCGCACGACTTGGCCCGAGAGAGCCCGGAGCTTCATGTCCTTGAGGGCAGGGTCCTCGAGGAGGAGGACCTTGTCCTTGTCCCTCACCCCAACCATGTGGAGGTGGTCAGTGTCGTCCCTCTCTTTACCCCTGAACAGCAGCCTCTGCTCCCGAGGCTCTAGTCCTGTTATCATGGACAGCATCACCTTCAGCTCCCCTGCATTTTTTAGAGACAAAGCTCGTTAGTCACGACACAACTAAAAAGGAGACACTTTTAAATGAAATCAAGCTATCAGTATACACATCGTTTAGATGACGATGGAAAAGAAGAAGAAAAATGGATGAAGGTTCCAACATGTGTGCAACTTTGGCTGATTATAAGGCATCGGGCATGTTGGCAGTCACTGCAACGGCGATTGCATGTAGCAAGAGCTGGCAGTGTGGGTGGCAGACATAAATGATTTTAGTTTTTATTATATTTGTATATATTGCAGGCCCGTTCGCTTGGTAAAAAAAAAAGTCAAAACACTGTTCTACTAATTTGTTACGAAAAAAAATAATGTTTTAATTAAAAAAATAAGTTGAAAAAAACAGATCACAGGAGAGGCTAACAGACCGCAGCCAGGAATAAAGTTACGCGCGAGTGTGTACGCTCATGTTAGGGTGTAAGACTTTGAAGTCTCTTTGCATCAGCATTGCTAGTACAGATACTGTGATGTACTGTAGTTCTGAGGAAGAAGATGCAGCACATGTCGGTTCACAAGTCCACAGTTTATAGTATTCAGCCGACCTTTCTAGTTGTCAACTAGTACAAAAAAAATTGGAAATCGCAGTACGACTCAGAAGCGTGGGAATTTCACATTTGGATTTTGGAGTTCAGAATTTTGGAATCGAAAGCATGCTGGTTTCGCTCTGATTTTTTTTTTGACCATCAGACTTCAACGAAGAGCACTCAAAAGCGAGACGCATTGCCGGTTTTACATTGCGCACGGTAAAGGGTCCGTAACCCATAAACTCCCTTCTCCAACCGTCGGGCGCAACAGAGTGTCCTCTTCCTCTCGCGACCGCCGCCTCCTCTTCCCTTCCTCCTCTCGCAGGCCTGAGCGGGCGCGATGGAGCCAGAGGCAAGAGATTCCGTCTCCTCCTCCCATGATCGTCTTCTCCAGGCCGCCGCGGCGAGCTCCGTCCCTTCCTCCTCTCCCGGTGAGCTCCGTCCCGGCGAGCTCGGCCCTGGCGCGGGCGAGCTCGGCCCTGGCGACGGTCGTCCCCGAGCTCCGCCCCAGCTCCGGTCATCCCCGAGCTCGTGGTGGTGGGACCCGCCTGTGTGGAGGAGACGCAAAGGGAACGAGAGAGGACGCAAGTTTGCGTACCTGTGTTTCGTCGGACACAAAATAAATAGCTGCTGTGTTTGGGGACTCCGTTAGAAGATGTTTTTTCCCCGTAAAAGCACTGTGCAAAATACGGATGGGTCGTTTGGGTTGTCCGTTGGAGACCGGCTCAGTCATCACCCATAAGAGTAAATTTGGGAGCCCTTTCTAAAGAAGAGTAATAAATTTGGGAGCAGAGCTGCCCATACTCCATCGAAGCATTCTGCTTCTGCATAGGAAATGTCAAATGCAGTGACACTGCTGTACTTGACAGTTCAGAGCAAGGGCACTGCTTCCGTTCTTAACTCCATTCAACGGCTTCCAAACAACTATACACTCACTGATGAGGAGAAATAACTGGATCTTTCCTATTACTACCTTTTTTCACCTATAATAATAAGGATTCAGGGGAAAGCTAAATAATTATGATGTAAACTTCCAAGAAGGAGCTATGTCGACTCAAGTTCTAAGAACATACTCTGCTAATCTATCAGCAACCACAAACGAAATCAAATGTATGTGAACAACTGAACATAAAGCCACTCAAATCGACCAAAAAAGAAACAGAGAGAAAAAGAACCATCAGACTGGCCGGAGCAGTGTAGTACTCACCAAAAGTGGAGGTGGCTGCAATGGACACATCATGCCAGGAGAAGCCGGTGGACACCCTGACCGTGACCATCTCCTGGCCGCCCCTCCCGTCCCTCTTCTGCACCAGCATCCCTCCGGGCCTCACCTCCCACTCAATCTCCCCAGCGCCGCCACCGACCCCATTGTCGCCGCCACAAGCGGCCGCCTGCTGCTGCTGCTTGGACGAGGAGCTCCTCTTGAAGAGCCTCTTGGAGTACCTCAGCTTGATCATGGCTGTTGCCAAGGTGCAGCTCGCTCGCTGCGCTCCTGTGTATGCGTGGTTGTGTGTAATGCGCAGCAAGCAACCGATTTCAGGCTTTGCAGTGGTGCCAAGGCTTTGTGTGTGTTCGTGTGAATATATAGGACGAGGACGACGAGGTGCACAAGGCTGGTCCTGACGCTGGCATGGCAGGCTGGCTCTTTAGAAGCGTGCGTCTGTTTAGTCGGTGACGTGAAATTTTTTTCGGTGTAAGGAAGGTTTTTGATACTACTAATAAAAAAATAAATTATAGAATCCATCAAGAAAATGTAAGACGAATCTAATGATACTAATTAATTGGGCATTAGCACATGTGGATTACTGTAGCACTTAAGGCTTTTCATGGACTAATTAGGCTTAAAAGATCCGTCTCGTGATTTTCAATCAAACTGTGCAATTAGTTTTTTTTATCTACGTTTAATGCTCCATACATGTGCCGCAAAATTTGATGTGACATTTTTGGTTGAATTTTTTTTTAAACTAAACAGCGTCCAGGACCGGCGAGTCCAACGCCGAGGCATGCAATCTCTGCAAAAGTCCAGAGCATAGGGCCCCAAAATTCTTTATAAAAAAAACAGTCGAGGACGAGCATGTTGCCCTTATAGTAGTGCTGCAGCGCCCAATAATCTCGAAATGTTTCGAAAGTTGCATTGGAGGCGACTGTGGAGGTTTATTTGGGCTGCACATGGAAGGGTCGGTCGGCACCAAAAATGATGAGACGAGAGAGCCTCGGATGATGACGGTAGGATTGGGGGCGAAGGACAGGATGATTGGTGGGGTGGTCGGTTGCCTTAGATAGTTATTAGAAAACACGTCAGCATTGCCAGCCTAGCTCCGGATATTAGTGCCTTGTTTGCTTAGCTTGTAAAAGTATCGTTGGCTGATTTGTTGTGAGAGAAAAATACTGTTCGTTGACTGAAAAAGTACGCCTTATAAGTCAAGCGAACAGGACGTAGACTATCGATTGACAATTTGCCTTGTCATCATGGTTTGGTTTGGCCACCGCTAGTTTTTCGTTTTAGTTGTGGTTAGGGCCCTGCAATTGGTTAGCCGTTGTTTTGAACGCAAGGAAAGACGACGATGATGGCGGTGGCGAGAGAGGGAGTTGTACGTTGCACAGCATGTGTGTGTGCATGTTTTGAGTAGGGCCGAAGGTACGTAGTATGCGTTGGTTTCAATTTTGGTGGCTCCGAGGGTGGTTCAGGTGGCCTGGTGGGGCTTAATGCTCACTCATTTTCCCACTTCCTCGTTTTGCATACTCGTACATGCGCGGTGCACCGAACAGCTCCTAGCCAGTGTGACAGTCCTGTGGGATAGTACTTCATTCCGTGCTCAACATGGCTGACAGGTAAGGAAACAGGAAACTGGAGTACTGTGCTGTTGGTTTACTGCTCCTATCCTATTGCCTCGGTCATCTGATCTCAAATGATAGATAAGGCCGACCTGATGATGCCAATCCCAATAATACCCTGTCGATCGAGTCGGCGCAAGATGCCCAAAAACACAATGTGATTGCGCGTGGGCGCATCAATTGTTATATCCGGAGAAGGGAGAACCTTCCTGCGGCCATGGGCGGAGCGCCATGTTGCAGAGTGCTGCGACAATTTAGGCTATTCGGTGGATCGCGGCTTTGGATCCATGCTCGCTCCAAACATGTTAGCTAGGGATCGGCCCGGCGGATCGTGTGATACATGGCCACTTGGCCACACCGTATCTGCGTGGATCAGGCCGTTAGCGGCAGCGGCAGCGGCAGCCCAGCGTAACGTGCTTCGTCATTCGCATGGCTTGAGGTTTATCCTTTGCAACACTGGCTGTACTATTCTTGTTTTTGCAAATGGCAGTTTGACTGGCAGGCCAAGAAGAAGAGATTAGACGGAATCGGGACTACGGCCGGCTGGCAACGCAAAGGCAAAGCCCATGCGGCGCGGCACTCGGCTGCCGCCCGCCAGCACAGCGGCACGCGGCCAGCCACGGCGACGCCGCGCGTCACCACGTCGAACGGTCGCGCCACGCAGCCGCCGGGTGCTGCCCTCCCCTGTGCTTTCAGTACGTTTCCACAGAAATGAGGTCACAACCAACTGCCCCAAGCCTCCAACTCACGTCACATTCGTATATACGTACTCCACCATTGCTTTTATTCAGTACATGGATGTACCAATAGTACACTCCATCCGCGACTAGATAAATAAATTCAAGAGAGGAGACTCTGCGCGCGCGCGCGTGTTCCACCATTGCTGAGCTCAAGAACTCCGCTTGCTTCCTGAAGCAGGATCACGATCCTTTTTTAAGAAAGTGGACGAGAGTCTGTTCCAGATGGACTCTGAGTCACCATCAGCAGCGTCAGCACAGGCAATCCGAGTTACAAGGGCGTCGTGGGCCGGGCGGAGTCTCTCCGGTATTTTTTTTAGCCCACACAGCCTAGCGGGTCGGCCGCGTCGCATGGACAGCTATCACAGCACGCAGGCTGGTGGAGAAGAGCCCAGACAACCCATCCTGCTATTCTTTTTGGGGAAAAAGGGTCTATTTGACGTCCCCAGCTAGACCCTTAGCATTCTTCCGTTCCGACCGGTCGGCAGCGTGCGCTCCGTCGACTAGCGACAGGAGAAAGCGCGAGGGAACGCGGCCGGCCCACTTCAAGCTCGGATCGACCATCGGCCTGGGTAACGCTCACGTAGGCATGTACGATAGATTTTTTTTTTGTTTTCTTTCCTTTCTACTATTTTTTCCTGTTTCTTCTCTCTTGTTTTATGTGGTCTTCTACTATTATTTCATTTTCTTTTTTCCCTTTTTCGTTTCTATGTGGTGTTTTATTCTGCTCTTTTATTTTGCTGTACTTAATTATTTTACATATGATATTTGTGCATTATAATATATTGTTCCATAATATGTTTTCGAATGTTCTCACAGTATAAGTAAGGTGTTTAATAAGTATCTTTGCGTATTCACATAGAATTTATGAGATGTTCTATTATATATTTTAGGTTGTTCAAGTAATATCCATGTGTGTTCTTTTCTATTTTTCTCTATTACATGTTTTTTCTTTTTATTATTTGTGTTTCCCCATATGTTTTATTGTGATGTTCACGTAGTATATATGTAATGTATTTTATGATATTCACGTAGTATAGATGAGAAGTTTTCTGAGATTTTTCTTTAAGCATTCACGTAGAAGTGAGATTTTTATGTATATTTTTGGTTGTTCTAGTAGTATCGATGTAACGTTTCATATGTTTTTATTATGTTATTTTTAATAAGTTGTTTTGTATTATATTTTATTTTCCTTTCACTTATTTACATTTCATTGTTTTTTCTTTTTTATTTCACATGCCCCGCTGACTTGGATCCGCGCTGGCGCAAGGAGTTGGTGTGCCACGTGAGCAAAAGTGTCAATTTTGTATATGTTTTCTCTTTCTGCTAACAAAAATATACTGACAGGCGTTAAGATGCTATCTAAGGAAGTGTCAATCATTGTAACGGTAAAAATTAATAATCCTAGTTTCAAGTATTTCAGGTATTTCAGAGGTACGTTATAAGTGTTTTATATCAATGTTGCAAAAGTAGAGGATGTTGCACATGTTGTAATACTTATACATGCATATTTTAAGTATATGTTCCAAATGTTTCATCTGTTTCAGACTATACGACAAGTGTTTCATCTGAATGCTACAAAAATATATCTAAATGTTGCATATACATGCATGCTGCAAGCGTATGTTTTAAGTGTTTTAGGTGTTTTATACGTATGTTGCAAGTGTTTCATCTTGATGTTGTATATATTTGCAATGTCTACGCACGTGTTTTTAAGTTTTTTCTGGTGTTTGCAAGTGTTTTAACTGTTTCGGACGTATGTTACAAGTGTTTCATTTGGATGTTGCAAAAGTAGATCTGGTGTTACACATGTTGCACTGGGACTCACCTATCGCAGCCGCTTGCTGCAGCTGCTGGGGGGCTACGACGCGCCCCGACCCCGAGGACGCGGGTTCCATTATGTAGGATCTTTGGTTGGCCTAGAGGGAGAGTGAATAGGCCTGTCAAAACAAACACTCAAATTTTTATCAAAATCACCCTGCGGCACTGCCACTCTGGAGGGCGGGACTGTGGCACTGCCGGGCCAGAACAGCGGCACTTTCGCACCTGCAGACAACTTCGAATCACAGTTCAAAATCTATGAACGAAAACTTAGATCGGAGAAATTTCCTAACTTACTGCAGGTATGACAAACACAGATCAAGAGCTAGAAGTGGTAGGAACACCACACATAAGTAGATCGACTAGAAACCCTAGAAATTACCTCAACCACAATATGTCATGCAAGTAATGTAAATCAAGCACAAGTGACACAATGATTTATCCCGTGGTTCGGCTCGCCACCAAGGCTTGCCAACCTCCACGTTGTTAAGGTTAGCCACTAAGGCTTAGGTCTTTCCAACTCTTCCTCGTTCTCAAATCAAGAGACTGTTTACACCAAAATTTAGAAGAAGAATCACAGGGACTCGAAAGCTCCCAAGATCATGTCATCAAGGAATCAATTGCGTGCAGATCGGTATCAGCTGATTCGAATGCAACATTGGAATCGACTTTCTTCAGATAGCGCCAGCAGATAACGACAAAGGCTACGATCGGCGCTAGGACAAAGCATGTTGGACTCTACAAAAAGGAAAAGATTAGAGTCCAAGTTATCTTAAATTAGGAATGTTTTCTCTTAGGCCAAAAAATTGTAATGAGTCATGCTTAAGAAGGATTCATGTGTAGGTTCCGGGTATAAATATTGGACCCCGGCTATTGTAAAGGACACACAATCAATCAAATACAAGTTACTTACTTTTTTCGGCTCCGACCACCCCTTAGGAGTAGGAGTAGAGTAGATCTCGACGAGTTCTTCAGCAAGTATGGCTGCATCGATCCGATCGACCTCCACTGCTTGTCTGTAAGTACCATCATGGCTTATACTTCTGTTCGTACGGCTGCATCGA